ATTTTTCTTAAAAGACAGATCCTTGCTCAAAACCCTCACTGGAATTTCAAATTATTCAGACTAAAATCCAAGTATTTTAAAAATATAATTTACTATAGATCTCTACATGATGTGGTCCTTTGTTACCTCTCTGACCCTACTCTTCATTTTGCTCCAATTACACTGGTCTCCTTTCTGCTTTTCGAACATACCAAGCATGGCTCCATCTTAGGATTCAGCAATTGTTGTTCCCAACACCTGGAACCCTCTGCTCTAACATAGGTGTTTTACTTTCTTCAGATCTCACCTCAAATGTCAACTTATCAGCAGACTTTCACCAACCACTTTATTTAAAATTGCACTTCCCCTTAAGTCCCTACCCTCATTTTCTTTTACTTAAATTTATTTATTAACATTGATGATCATTTTACATACTATACACACTGTACATTTACTGGTTTATCTGTTTATTGTCCTACTCCTCAATGGACTGTAAGTATTATGAGGGATGAATGGTCTGTCTTACTCATTGCAGTATTTTTATCCAGCTTCTAGAATAGTGCCTCATACATGATAAGCATTCAATAAATATATGTTGAATGAGAAAATAAGTGTAGAAAAGTACTTTTTTAATGTATTAATTTCAAAATAGAACACGTTATTACTATTTTATTGTTCCTAACAATATTTTTCAGTCGACATTTCTGGAATTTTTCATTTTTGCAGTCATATCATCTGCAAATAATTATAACTGTTTCTCCATCCCAATATTTATAAATAATATTTTTCTATCTCTTCTATATCTCAAATTTTATAAAAATATTAAATACTGGTGGTGATTTTAGGAGTCCTTGTTTTATTCCTTGCTTTCACAGGAATTTCTCTGATGTGAGGATTCTGGTTGGGGTTTGAGATGCAACACACACACGCACACACACACACACACACACACGCACACACACACACAAACACACACACACATTCTCTTATCATATGAAGAATCTATTTTCTCATTGTTTAAGAATTTTATCAAAATTGTCGTAGGATTTTATTAAATCATTTATTAGAATTTATTGATATGAGCATGTGAGTCTTATATGACTTTTTAATACATCACAATACTAGATTTCTCAGTAGTGAATACTCTTTGCATTCAAAGACCTAGTTTCACTTTGCCACGGTAGTTTCCTTTGAATGCTTTGATGGATTACAGTAAATGTTTTTATTTTTAATTATTTTTACAATTTATTTTATTTTAAAGACATGAGGTACAAATATTTTTAAAGGATAAGTTGCAGCTATTTATATATCGATGCCAATTCAATCTTTTTTATTTTGTGTAATTTTATTCATTTGTTTATATTTCTCTGGCCTCTCATAGAAAAGAGTAAATTTTTGTCTCTTTATGATCTGAGGTAGCTTAAACTTAAATATTCCTTGATAACATGAAATAATTTACCTGTGAGTCTATCATATGATTATATATGTGGTATTATTGGATGAAAGGATGGATTTTTTAAAAATCATATTTACAATTTTCTAGGGTTAATCATCTGGTCTGGTTTATTATTGCTTTCTGGAAGTTTAGTTATTTCTATCTTCTGATAACTTTTTCACTCAGATTTTACATTTACTGTCTAGTGAATCAATCTCTGCCTGTTATTTTTTTCTTTCTCACTTGTAATTATTTGTATATGTGCTGTTTTGGATCATAATGCTGAGGAAAAGCATATCCTCCCCTGGACAATCCCTTTGCTCTTTGGCAGGCTGGGAATATTATCAGACTTAAACTTGTGCCATTCAGGTAACAACTCAAACACGAACTAGTAGCAGTCATTGAGGAAGGTGATATTTCACCTCCGTAGGACTATCAAGGATGCTGGGAGCAGCAGGGTGTTGGGAATACTGAAGACTCATCAGACTAGCAGGATAAGTGGTCTAGAAGTCACTACCTCTGATGTCCTGCTTTGTGAGCTAAGTCTGATTTTTCATTCTCCAAAAGAGACCAGCAGTTGAGCAATGAAAAAGCCTAATTAGTGGGCCAATGTAAGTGGTCCCAGGAGGTCTTAAGTAAATATTTCTAAAAGTTATCCGGGAGAAAAACTGAACTTTCTGACTTTGAGGTGGAGACTCAAAATCTTCATAATTTTAATGTTACAGAGATATTATGTTTTATCAAGCTGGCAAGGTCACAGCATTTGGGTAAAATAAGCTTCTCCCATTTTCTTCCCCTTCTTCTCTCTCTTTCTTTATTGCCTTTTAGAATCCTTCATATTCTTTTCTGTTCTGCTTTCTCCTAAAAGGAAGATTTTCCCAGCGTTTCAAAGCACTCACCTTCTCAGGAGTGAGAAATCACATCCTGGGACATACAGCCAATTCTTCACTGTTCTCCTGATGCCTTATAGGCAATTTGACTTCAGATGTTCCAAATCAAACTCATTATCTCCACCTGTACTGTCTATGCCTATTTTCTTCATATTATCTGTTTTAACAATTCACATTCAATAACCTGACAGTCCGCCTAGTTTCTTTGGTTTTCTTTATTCTCCACATGAAACATCAAATAGTTTCTTCATTTCCCATCTTTTTTTTCTAATAACTTTCTCCTCCATAGTTACCTCCATTATCCTAGTTTAAACTCTTGTAGTCACCTTTTTTGGATTTTATTTAGTGACATCTGATACATTGCATAGCATTTAAACTAGGATGCAATAGACCAGGAACCCTACTAAATCCAGCTAAATGTCTAAGGAAAGAAACCTTGTGTGCTCGATCTCCAGATATGTAAGCCTGTACTGTAGGTGCCGTCTTCCTTTGGCTTGACAGCATTTTTATTGCTTGCCCTTATTTCCTTGATCTTTGTTTCAGAAACTACTTGATACTCTGACCACAAATCTGATTAATTTAGCCAGAGTGATTTAGAAAGAAAGGATCAAGATCAAGTAAATAACAGATCGGCAAAGAACACAAAATTTGATGACACAATTGGCAGAGGTATGGTAAAACAGGCATGCACACATTATTTATGAGAAGTTAAGTTGGTAGGAGTACTTTGGGGGGTGATTTGGCAATGACAATTAAATATAAAATGAGGTTGCTAATTGATACTAATTGATTCAGCAAATCCATTTCTAGGAATTTATCCTGAAGATATACTCGTGTGTGTGTATACAAAAACGTATACACCTAAGTAATAACTGCAGAAAAGTTTATAGTATCAGAAAATAAGAACCCATATAAATGTTCATCAAAGGTATAATGAATAAAGTATATTCCAGCCATACAGTGGAACGTTTCAATAAAAATTAATTAGGTAGATATGCTTGAAAAACAATCTCTATCATTCTGTGATTAAAAAGGCACACATATGTGCAGCACATGTTATTGTTGGTATAAAAATTGCATATACCATACATATATTCTCATATATGTATAGACTATCTCTAAATGAATACACACACAAATGCGCTTGTAGTAATCTATGGGCAAGAGACTAGACAGCCCGGGTATGAGACTTAGTTTTCACTGGTATGCCTTTTATACAGTATGGATTTTTGATCATGTGCATGTATTACAACTATTTTAAATGAACATAAAACAGAACAAAGATCAGATGGTACTTCTTCATAGAAGTAGCTCAAAATATGAGAAACAGTTTCATACATAAAACGGTATACATCTACGCCTTCTCCTCAAATGAGAAGTAGCATAAACACACGTACAAATATATGTTATAAATACACAAGTACATTTGTGTAAATGAAAAATGATTTGTGAAATCATTTTTTAAAACAACAAAACACCTAACAATCCTAACTTATATTAAGTATGTTTACATAATTTATTTAAGATGTTATTTGTTTAATCTATAAGCATAGGATTCCTTTTCAAAAACAGATGTTTAAAGTAATGTGTGTATAACTGATGTTCCAACTTCAGCTTCTCTCCTGGAAAATTTGACTTTGATAAATATATTCCTAGAAGAACAAATTTAAAAAGTAAAGCATTTATTTAAGCATTAGAAAGTTTAGTCTCTCACTTAATTGCTAAGATGTTGAATACATTTATTTTTTTTGAAACATCACATATGGGATCCAGAATTATCCATATGCACATTAAAAATAAAAATCAACAACACTTACATTGAACACAACTGCTAGCCTTTCATCATAAATGGCTACCTGAATTCAAGAAATGTTTACCTCCTGAAATACCTTCCTGATTGACTGGCTACATATATAGGCTAGTTTTGATTAGCTCTGAAAATCTGTAGCATAAATACTACCCAGAAAAGCAGGTCATAATACAGCAGCTTTAAACAAGAAGGTTGAAGGCCTTGGGATAGTGATGTTAACGTTTTACTGAATAATCAAAATTCTTTGTTAATAATATGAACAACACAGTAAGATTTCTTAACCAAAAAACATATTTTAAAGCATTTTATCCACCAATGATACACAAACAACAAACACTGAATTTCCAACATCCAAATGTAGCACACCTAATTGGTGGCAATCTAGAACTTGAACTGTACTTTTAAATGGGAGTAAGGCCATACATGGTGGGTAGTTCCTCAGACCAGTCCAAAAGATGCTTTGTTGCACACATCTACCATACATCTATAATGTGTAAAAAAGTATAACATACCATTGAAATACTGGTGAAGCAAAAGTACTGAAGACCATGATTGCATCAGCCTAAAGAAAGCACAGGTGAATCACTCAAGTCACAACATAATTAAGGTTCAGCAAAAATTATTTGTATGAGAAGGCAAAACTATAGTGCTTTTGGGAGAGGTTCAAGAAAGTGTTAAATCCGAGTTTTGATTGCTCAAAGAACCACTTGTGCTCACTCTCTAGCTCTCTCTCATTCTCATTCTCATTCTCTCTCTCTCTCTCTCTCTCTCTCTCTGCCTAATACACTAAATACAGGTAGATTGGGCCGGTTCCACCGGAAAGACAAAAGCTACACAAATGCAGCATGAAGGAAACTCAGAACTGAAAGGTAAATCTGATCACTTTGAGAACGAGGTGGGCATCCTTAGCTCCAGAGGCCTGCGTAGTTCCCGTGGAGGCCTGAAGGGAGCGGCCCCCCAGCCACAAAGAGCTTCATCTCCGGCCAGTTGTAGCAGTGGGTGTAGAGTGCATTGGGGAACTCCCCCATGCCACCAAAGTAGTTCAGCCAGAGGTCATCACGGTTGAGCCAGCCTCTGCCACAGGCAAGCTTGAGCTTCCTCCCTGCGGGCCCCGGAGGGGAGTCCGGGCCGGCCCAGGCCCTCTCCTCCAGGAACTTCTGGGCACGGATGTCGTAGAAGAGCAGGGAGCCATGGCCCGTGCCCACGGTGACGACGAACTGGTAGAAGCTCAGCGAGCGCACGCCGGTGCCGCCCTCTCGGGAGCACAGGGGCCGGATGTACTGCTGACGCTGGCGCGGATCCAGAAAGGAGACGTGCGACTGGGAGCCCACCGCGTAGAGAGAAAGCTCGTCGCAGTAGGTCAGGCACACGTTCTCTCGGCAGTAGGGCAGCCGGACGGACAGCAGCCTGGACAGGGTGCTTCGGGCCTTCCACAGGTGGAAGTAGCCGTCCAGGGACACCGCCCCCAGCTCCTGGTTCTTGCCGCTGAAGGCCAGGGCCCGCACCTTGCGGTTACCGGGGTTGGTGCTAGCCCTGGGGATGGCCTCCACGTCCCTCGGCCGGATGTGGGCGTAGACGGGGAGCCCCAGGTCGTCGCGCCCGGCGCC